TAGGAAACCAACACAGATGCCTGCCGTGGGAACGTTGTCTCCCCACATGAGAAGGGCGGCTACTGCCTCTGTGTGGGCTGGCAAGGAGAAAGAGGACCAATGGCTGCAAGAAACATAAAAACGTAACAGTTAGAGCTGTCCTTCTAACTGAGGGTGTACCACCCAGAAGTCTATGGGAAGCTTCACTGTATTTGACTGTTCCTACAGAATCTGGACGACTTTTTATAAGGGGGATGTTGAAGGGGGGTCATAGGTAAGAAGATCTTTTCACCTATAAAATTTTTTTTTTTAGTTCTCTGTGGTCTTCACAAGTATGGTTTGCCATTGTCCCCACCCTGATCACCCGAGGAGAGTCATATGGGCTGATGAGTGATCTGAAACCCTGTACCTACGTGGTCTTGAGGTGCTTGTGTATTATGTATATTTGCTAACATGTTTGCATTTCTGGGGCACCTGGGTGGCTCAGTCGGTTAGGCGACTGACTCTTGGTTTTGGCTCAGGTCATGATCTCAGGGTTGTGGGATGGAGCCCTGAGTCGGGTTCCATGCTCAGCAGGGAGTCTGCTTGTGATTCTCTCCACCCGCCCCCCCCCTTACGCTCTCTCTCTCTGTCTCTCTCTCTGTGAAATAAATAAATAAATCTTAAAAAAAAAAAAACATGCTTGCATTTCTTATTTCATTCTACTATGCTGGTAGTAGAATGGATCTGCATTTCCTAAGCATACACCTGTTTATTTGGATGGGAAAATGCTGGAATATGCTGCTAGTGATGGGAAATGGTGGCTCGTTTGCAGATAGATACTCGAGTTTTAGAAAGAAAAAAGAAATAAAATCTCTGTGTCAGGACACAGGAAAGCAAGAGCTCTGATTCCCACAGAACACTGGTGAGTCTGTGGTTAGAGCACTTGCTATGTCTTCCTGTAGCAATTACCTCAAACTAGTCAAGACAATTCTTGGCACTTTTTTGGTTGCTTTTCACAGCTTTGAAATAAAATGTCATTTGCATTCCTTAAAAATCTAAGCAGTGAGGAAGAGTAATGTGTCTCACAATTAATGAGTTACATTTAAACGCTGAGAAGCAACTCTTGTGTGAGCTCCAAGTCTAATAGATTGGGGAAGTCTTGTAAATGAAATTGCTATTCAGCAAACATATGCCCTTGGCAGTCCCTATTTGTGGAAAGTCAATGGGAAAAAAGAAAATGAGGAAAACCAGTTACTGCAATTTGAACACCAAGAAGGCTTGCATTCAGTATATGAGGAGAAAATTCCTGGGTATAAATGAAAAATTGACACTTACGTGGTTTCACACCATTTTTATGCATGACTTTTCACAAGAATCAAAGGGCAGGGGATGAGAACAAGTGAGGGGAAAAGGGCATATGGTGACAACCAGATAATTCTAGCTAATTCTCTGGTTTAGGTTACTCTGCCCCATAACAACTGTAGGGACATGGGCTCTCTAGTTGATGGGAGAGACATCTTGCTAATGATTCGTTAAACCAGGTGACTGCACTGTTTCCACCCCACCTAGGTAGACTGCAACAACTCAGTTCTGACACTAGCTACCTAGAGTTATGACCAGACTCCAGAAGTTTAAGGTCTCAGCCCCTATAAGATGCCCCTACTGCAGCTTCCAGCCTCAAGCTCCAGGGTCCCCAGGCCACCCACATGTCTGACAAACTGATTACAAATTGGGGGGTTCCCATGACTCCCTTAGGTGCAGTAATTCATCAGAACAAGTCAGAACACAGGGAAGTGTTAACTTAGAATTACAGCCTATTGTGAAGGGTCCACATAGGGCTGGGTCTGGGAAGGAGTGCAAAGCTTCCATGTGGAAGCAGGCACATCACCCTCCTGGCACATCCATGTTCACCAACCAGGAAACTCCCCTGATCTTCAGCGTGCAGAGTTTCTAAGGTCATTTCATTGAATATAGGCATGACTGATTAAATCATTGACCATATGACTCAACTCAATCCCTAGCCCCCACCCTTCCTCAAAGGGTGAGTTGATCCAAAGTTCCAACCTCCTAATCACGTGTTTGGTCTTTCTGGTGACGCCATCTTGAAGCTATCTAAGGGCCATGATTCACCTTGTTGGCATAACAAAGATACTCCTGTCAACTCAGGAAATTCCAAGAGGTTTTGAAGCTTTTTGCCAGGAACCAGGGACAAATAACAGATATATTCTTTATTATACCACACTCAGTTATTCCTCCATCTGATGTAAACATTTTGAAAATGTAGTCCATTTGACCGTCACAACATCTTCTCCCTTACTAAGATACAAATCGGCTGCCATCTGTAGTAGTAAAGGGGAAAGGGACGGGCAGAATCATTGAGCCTGGGCTCCCTATCACCTCTCACTTAGGCTCCACTGAGGACAGACCTAGAAGTGAATCCCTGAGGTTTTTCTATTTATAGTTGTATGGTTCTGGCAGAACCCAAAGGGAAGCAGTTATTCCTCTTTACTAATAACTACAAAACTAAGAACAGCTAACAATTTATTGAACATTTATTATGTGCTAGGCATCACCCTTAGCACCTTATATGTATTTAATCATTCAAGCCTCTCAACGATCTTAGGAGATGTTAACCCATCCCCTCTTAATGGACATTTAGATTGCTTCCAATGTTTTTCTTAACAAAAACAACATTACAGTGAAAAACCAAGGGCAAACCCCAACGTTTGGGTATCATAAACCAAAACTCCGCTTGTTTATTATTATGCTTGTTTTGTAAATGAAGAAAATGAGGCACAGAGAAAATAGGGTTATGGTTAAAATTTCAGAAAATATGGAAAGACATAAAATGATAAGTTAAAATCTCCCTCTCTTTCCAACCCTCAGGCCATCCATTAGAATTAACAACTGTTAAAATTTTCTTGTGACTCCTAGATGATGACAGATGATAGATAGATAGATAGATAGATAGATAGATAGATAGATAGATAGATAGACAGATGATAGATCTTTTCTTTATAAAAACAGAATCATATATATGATATATATATATGATATATATATCCCTTTTTAAAATTCTTTTATTTATTTATTTGAGAGAGAGAGAGAGATAGCAAGAGAGAGCATGAGCGGGGAGGAGAGGGAGAAGCAGGCTCCCCATTGAGCAGGGAGCCTGATGTGGGGCTCAATCCCAGGACCCAGGGATCATGACCCAAACCGAAGGCAGACGCTTAACCAACTAAGCTACCCAGGCACCCCTATACATCCCTTTTTCGTTTAACCTTGTTATTTGGAAATTTCTCCATAACAGCAAAACAAATTCACTTTATTCTCTGTAATGACATATAATAATTTATTTAACCCATCATCTCTTGATGGACACTTAGAATGTTTCCAATTTTGTCTTAATAAAATTACATTACAGTGAAAGACAGGAGTAAACCCCAAGGTTTGGATCTCAGAGACCAGCATCCCATTTACTCCTCATCTTTCACCCAAAGATATGGTAGAATCACAGATGCCTTCATAATATTGGCCATGAGATACCATTGGAGGTTGTGCTCTAGCAGTGTTTTAAGGATGCTCTGCAAGAAACATGTTGGATCTGTGTTTCTGCCCAGTGCAAGGATGCAGGCTCCAATCAGGGAGCTCTCTCTCCCGCCAAAAAAAAAGTAGAAGACAAACCTTCCCAATACTGCAGGACAACAGAGAACACAGAAATAAAACACCCAAACAGTTGGCCAAAATACAGAATACTTAAACTGGAGTAAGGCCCAAAACCTAATGTGGACTTCACATGAGTGGAGAAGCATCCTATAGAGGAAAAGGCAGGTGTTCCAGTATCAAAATCAGAATTGCAACTCCGCTTTTTAGCAGTGATCTGATCTGAACATTAGCTCCATTTTCTGTCTAAAAAGCAAGAAGGAATAATAACTTGCAGCATACACAGGAATAATCCATATGAAAATATTTCATAAAATACAATGACATACCAGCTAGTGACATCTTCCAAATATTCCCTCACCTGTGCCCAAGTAGCCAGAGATACTTGTTATCATCTTGTCTGTAGGACACTTCATTCAGGCACTTCACACCTGCAGTCTGGTTCATCCTGTAACAGAGGACGAGGCTAGGCAAAATCATCCCCACTTTACAGATGGGGAAAGCGGGGCAAAGCAGAGAAGTACGTAAGAGACACATTGATATAAGTATAGTTGAAGACACTTGACAAAGAAAACCAGAGTGCCACCAGCTGCCAGCTCAGGGCTCCTCCTAGCTATTGACAAGCTTGTTTTTAAGCTGCTGTGGGCATCAGCACATTAATATAAGGCTATGTTCTATCATCCCTAGTCTGAACTAAAAGATGTAGCAAAATCAACCATCATTATCATTATCATGCACCCATTATTTGTGAATTTATTTTTCCTTTTTCCTCTGGTGGCTGAATTCCCCTGGAAGCACCGTTTTCATGCCACTACCATTTGCTGTGGGCGCAGGGTCCATAGACGGTGGAGTCACAGTCGAGCAGCCTGATTGACAATGGTCCTATGTTCTTGCCTCTCCTGGCCAGGGTAGCTCATGGCTTGCTGGGAACCACGCCCTGAAGCAGGGGGCTCCACATCAGAACAAATGAAGCCCCATCTCCACAATGCAGGGCATGACCAAAGGATGTCATGTGTTAATATGCTGGATCCCTCTCTGGAGAGGATGAAGACCAGGGTCAGGAGGTGAAAGGATTAATAATGCTGGATGTTTCCCAGGCACTTAGGAAGATGATGCATCAGCCTCATAAAGCACTTTGCAGGCCCCTTGCAGTGTGACTACACACATTTTCAATGCAACAGCAAGAGCACAGACTCAGATTTCCAAGAGCAGCTTTCTAGTCTAAGTCCTGCAACCTTATAGCTGTGAGACCTCAGGCAAGTCTCTTCACCTCTCTGGGCCACAGTTTGCTTATCTGCAAAATGGGGGGAAAGATGTCTGACTTGCCTCGAAGGCTGTTGAGAGAATGAAACAAGATCACTCACCTGACAGTGTTTTGTGGACTCTGAGGTGGGCCATCCAGGTGGTTTCAGGGAGACGATGATAGTGACAATTGGTTGATTGATGGTGTCTTTCCCAGACAGAGCATAATTCTCATGATCATATTCATTGTCAGTGAACAGGTTAACCATGATGAGAACTTTGTGAAACAGATTTACTCTTCACCGGACTTTCTTTTCTGAAGATGAGACTGTGGTCATAAGCCTACAGTACATTTTCGTAGTGGGAAGAGACAGAAGTCCAGAATTCCCCACTTTTTCAAGGCCCTGTCAAGAAGCAATGAGGAGTCTGATGCCACATCCACTTGGCTAAAAGTTTATGTCCATGAACAACTAGTAAGTTTAGGCACTTGTCTGCATACTTTTCCCAAGCCAAATTTTCAGACCAGATCAGGCACATTAAGGGTGACATGGCCTTAGACTCAAGCCAAATTTTCAATTAAAAGAACTTGTCATTAGAACTGTTAGCTTTGAGGGACGCCTGGGTGGCTCAGTCAGTTAAGTGTCTGCCTTTAGCTCAGGTCATGATCCCAGGGTCCTGGGATGGAGTCCGACAGCGGGCTCCCTGCTCAGCGGAGAGCCTGCTTCTCCCTCTGCCGGCCACTCCCCTGCTTGTGCTCTCTCTCTGTCAAATAAATAAATAAAGTCTTTCAAAAAAGTACATTTCAAAATATGTCTCTGAAAAATAAACTGGCCAAAATTTACAAGGCAATCAGATAAAGAAAGAAATAAAATCTTGGGAAAAAAAAAAAAAAGAACTGTTAGCTTTGAGGGGTACCTGGGTGGCTCAGTCAGTTAAGCATCTGCCTTCAGCTCAGGTCATGATCTCAGGGTCCTGGGATGGAGCCCTGCACCAGGCTCCCTGCTCAGTGGGGAGCCTGCTTTTCCCTCTCCCTCTCCCTGCCCCTCTCCCTCTGCTGCTCCCCCTGCTTGTGCTCTCACTCTCTCTCTGTCAAATAAATAAATAAAATCTTAAAAAAAAAAAAAAAGTTAGCTTTGAAAGGAGGTTTGTGCAGTCTAACTCCCTGGCTTGATATGCAAAATTTTGCAAATTTTAATTAAACTTGCAAAATTGCAAGTACACTTTTATTTCCTGAAGTCTATAAAGAAGATGAATACCCTTGGTTTGGGAAACAGCTATAGGCACTATGAATTTTCTGATTGTTCTTCCCTTAACAGAGATAGTAACCCCAAGGCATTAATGCAACTTTCTCTCCTCTGTCAGAGTAGAGCTTTGGGGGACAAGGAACCAGCTGGTCCTAATTGTTCAGTTCCTTGGGCCCAGGGTGGAGCCCACGGAGAGCAGGAGAGAGTCACGGTGGTGAGGTGAGTGAGTAAATTCATATGCCGCATCCTGTGGGGGAGCCCAGGGCCGGGTTGGAAAGGGATGTCAAACCAGGCTGTCAATCCTGATGCTTCGGCCAGGAAAGGAATAAGGGCAATGGGCCAGAAAGGGAGGTCAGTCACTGAGGATAAATCCCAGTGTCCATACCTGTGGGAGTGTCTTAACAGTTGCCAGCATACATTTGCCAAAATGATCCAGGCTCGCTTAAGTGAATTCAGACAATGGAATACTTTGCTAGTTGCATAGCTCCAGAAATATGCTCATCTAAATATTTTTAGGGGTGCCTGGGTGGCTCAGATGGTTTAGCGTCTTGCCTTCAGCTCAGGTCATGATCCCGGAGTCCTGGGATCGAGCCCCACATCAGGCTCCCTGCTCAGTGGGGAGCCTGTTTCTTCCTCTGACTGCAGCTGCCCCTGCTTGTGAGCTCCCTCTTTCTCTCTCAAATAAATAAATAAAATCTATAAATAAATAAATAAATAAATAAATTTATTTTTAAATGCTTTGTTTAAAATGTGCAGCTCTACTCTTGAATATAGAATCAAAATGTACAGATGTGGGTCTAGCAATTATCTAATCAATCTCTCTGCCTATAGCCCAACTTCCTTCCCCCTTTCCAAGCAGATGAAGGTGAAGCCTCAGGTATTCCGAGGAAGGAAAACCCACAGCTTTACCAGGTAACTTTCCTAGAAATTTAACTGTGTTTACTGAAAGAAACTCCCCCTCCTGGTGTCACGATTCTCTATTCTAAAATCACCAAGCCAATGTTCGCTTTACCTCCTACATTTTGCCTTGATCCCTGCTGTATTTTCCTAATGACCATTTTTCATGTAGCTTTTCTTTTTTTTTTTTAATTTTATTATGTTAGGTCAATCACCATACATTACATCATTAGTTATTGATGTAGAGTTCCATGATTCATTGTTTGTGCATAACACCCAGTGCTCCATTCAGTACCTGCCCTCCTTAATACCCATCACCAGGCTAACCCATCCCCCTACCCCCCTCCCCTCTAGAACCCTCGGTTTGTTTCTCAGAGTTATGTAGCTTTTCTAATACACCAAGTTTGCTCTCTTATTCCCAGGGGTGTCAAAAAAGAGTTTATACACTTAGAAAATGTATTTGCCAGGAGCTTTGTAAATGGTCAAGTCTAAACTTGACTTAATTTATTTATCAGGCAGGAAGACAGCAGCTCCCTGGCACCTTGCTCAGGACAGGTGCACCATTAAAACAGAAAGGTGCACTGTCCTTGGTCCAGCTGGACATGAGCCATGGCATAAGCCAGGAAGGTGAACAATGGAGCCTTCAAGACCTGTAACACATGCATCTTACAAAGAGGCTCAGCACTGAATCTCCCCTTCCACCGGGTCATACTTCTTATGCCAACCACTTAGATGATGCTCCTTCTAGGTGTCCTGCTCAAAGAAGGAGCTGGGGATGTTGCCAAGAGAGTCACAATCTTCCCTCTGAAAAGTGGATCACAGCAGCATTCGTACACTGCTACGAGGATTGGGTTCTTTCTCTAAGTCAGCTCAAGAAAACCCCTACGGGGGCGCCTGGGTGGCTCAGCTGGTTCAGTGTCTGCCTTCGTCTCAGGGTCTCAGGTCGTGATCCCAGGATCCTGGGATCGAGCCCCGCGTCGCGCTCCCTGCTCAGCGGGAAGCCTGCTTCTCCTTCTCCCACTCCCCCTGCTTGTGTTCCCTCTCTCGCTGTGTCTCTGTCAAATAAATAAATAAAATCTTTAAAAAAAAAAATTCCTCCGGTGCTAGAATACTTCTAGACTGTGTATTTAGAGGAAGGAAGCTGCTTCCAGCCTCCCAACTGCTTTCACATCTCCCTGACATCCCTTCCCCACAAACGCATACACAAATAGAAGGTTTCTGACAAATGTCTATTGGCCTCTGGAGGAACTATGACCCTGTCTGCAGCAGGGCAGAGGTACCATTTGCATTTTGAATTATTTCATCAGGGCAAGATTTTTTGAGTGTGGTGGGTGGCATACCCATATAAAATATCCCTTGCAAGCATTACCTCTATTGTACAGACCGTGCAGACTCATTTATGGAGGAGAGCACTAACAGAAGTAGTAATATCAGGAGTACTTCTAGCTAAAAGCTACCACTTATTGGCTGCCTCCTACGTCTTAGATACTGTTCTGAGCACTTCACCTACATAACTCCCAATCCTCACATCCATCCTTCGGCCTAAGTTTTTGCTGCTTCTTCCACTGATGCAGAAATGACAGCTCAGAGAAGCTTGGGCACACCCACCAGCGGGGCGACAGAGCCAGGACGCAGGCCCAGCTCCATTTTGGTCCAAAGCCTGGGCTCTTCACACTGTGCCACATCCAACCCCTTCTCACAGTCAGAACAAGGTGGAAAAAGGAACGTGGATTCCAAGTCCAACGTGTCAGTTAGCTAAATCTCCTTGGATATAATTTATGACCCAACGTACTTGGTTGAAATAGAGTTGGCTTCTTTTCTGACTTTTTTTTCCTTGCAGACCTTTTGGCTCTCTTCTCTGAGTGCTTTTACCTGTTCTTAATCCACATTTAGCATGTGAGCATTTGCACAGAGTAATAATGCCCCTCATATGCATATTACCAAGGCACAAGTCAAAACGCTCTTGGGTATATTATCTGTCTTCCGTTGCTTGCTCTCTGCTTTGCCACTTCCATGTCTTTCTTTCCCTTCTTCTTTTCCCAATTCAGTCATGTAGAATAAATCGTGCACTTGTTCTGTAATTGAATATTAATCCACAGACAGAGGGTTAAGTCATACCGAATGTCAGGAGAACGGGTCCTCAGGAACCCTTCATCTCCTTCTATTCACAGTATGTTATGCACGTGAAGGTGTGAAATGTAGCCCCCAGAAGTCTGAGTTTAAAACTTTTTTTAATTAAAAATAACAACATAAGGGCTACTGGAAGTGGAGATTACCAAGCTATACACTATGCTATTTAATAATAGGCTCTGCATCTCCAGATTATCTTTCATTTTACGAAGCGACACACTTTATAAAATATTGATCTATTTATCATCCTACTTCCCTCTACCTGGAGCAATCCTACCCTTTTCCCTGCCTTAATTTCCCCTCCTTTGGCTAACCTCACTCATTCTGGGGGGCTCATGTTAGCTATCACTTCTCCCAGAAGTCTGTCAGCTTCCCAGGGCTGGGTTAGGAGACCCTCCTATGAGTCCCCAAAGCACTGTGTGCTCCTCCCATCATGGCTCTTTGAGGCCTCATTCATGGTCCTTCCCATCTCTACTCCCACCCAAATCCCAGGGGATATGCATGTCCGTGAAGATAAACCACCCATCTGATAATCCCAACAATGTGATCTTGAAATTCATGGATCTCCCTAACTCTACTCAGTTACTGCCCTGCATTTGGACCACCCATCCTCGTAACACTCTCGGTTCTGTCACCACCCAGAAAGCCTAAACTCCAATATTCTAGTCTCTGGCCATATTCGCCTACCCTCTGAGTTTTCCCACTTACCTGTTCCTCCCATTTCACTTGCTTTCTGGCCTCACAGAGTGTTCCAGTTTCTTGGCTTCCCCATTTTTCGCCCAGCAATGCTTTCCCTTCCCTGCTGATCCTACATGCCCAAGTGGGTTGTCTGAACTCTCCTCTGTCTGCAACCTTGATTACCTTGCATCTCTCTGTCTCTACCACATTGCTCAGGAAAATCCCAACCCTGAATCAACTCTCCAACCCCCCTTCTCCATCCCTATAGCCACCCAACAGCTGCATACTGCTGACAAAAGCCAGGATGTTCTCAGAGTTGGCTCCGCTACATATCCACAGCTTCAAATTTCATCTGAGCCTCTAGCACGACCCACTAACGCTTTGACTTGTTCTTGGCTCCCTCTTCCCTTCCCCACAACAGTCATTCCAAATGGTTACTCTTCTACTTGTAGCCT